TTCCTATTTTAGTATATGTGCTGCTGAAGCAAACACAATGTGTTGGTTATTACTTTCAAAGCCCTAAACAGCTTGTGATTGAGCTACTTGAAGGACCATCTCCTCTTATGTGACTATGCCTTTCCTTGAAGATTGACTGTTGACTGTTCCTGCTTGTACCTTCATATGGACCATGCAGCAGCACAAAACTTTATGCCCAAAGTAAATATTCTGTTTGTTTCCTTACAAACAAAGGCACATTGCTTCTAACAGCTTACTTCTGAATGACTGCTGTTTAGCACAACCCTGGTCACATCTACCCAGGCTACTGAACTGAATGGGGCTTACTCCCAGGTATGTGGTTAGGACTGCAGCCTCACTCATTCTTTCAACAGTTTTATTATACAGATCTGTGTAAGGCAGAATGTAAGCCATAAGGACTTATCTGTATTCCTCTGTAGGGGGGCCTAGGCAGTGGCTCATCATCCTGAATAAGGCCACATATAAAATCCTAAAGGCAAATGTGGTCAGTAATTCATACGAGCAAGTGCAGAAAAAAGTGTATGTAGCGGGAGGGGAGGGTTACATTCTCATGTCCTTGTTTGATCTCAAAAAACATCTGCACACTTCCTTCAAGTCTTATTCACATTCCAGTAGGCAAACCAATTTACATGGGAATTCTTGTTGCCAAGCACTTCAAAAGCCATGTTAGAAGGGAAATATGTCATATTGCACCACTTAGATGTTGTATTCATTGTGCCCATTTCCCAACCACATTACTTAAAGTTTTAAACCATAGTACAATTCCACAGCAATTCTTCATTCCACCAGGATGTCAATGAAGACAGAGCAAGTTATATACTAATGGAGATATGGCTGAGTGAAAGTAAAATTAATATTGCTTGGCAAATACATGCAAGTAGAAGAGGAGAGTCTCTGAGAATACATTGTCAAAAAATGGCAAGGCAGCAATGTAGTCTTACATAGCTTTCTACAAAACCTTCTTAAATCTTGTGAAAATATGTCTTTTCAGGTGTATCTAATGAACACTTTCATGAAGTACTTCATTTGCATATTTTGTAAACAACTGTGGAAGTGTCATATCTCAGTGCTAGAGTTGCATGCATGGTGTACACAAGATCTGGAGTTCAATCCCTGGCATTCCCTGCTAGAATAGTTTCAAAAGAAGGGCTATGAAAGATCTGTGTTTGCCCAACATCCTGGAGATCTGCTGCCAATACAAAGCAAAAGTGGCTGGCTGAGCTCAGTATCAACCCTAGCAGAGAGCTACTGGTTCAGTGAAAGAGAGAACCACGATGCTCCCCTGGTAAATATTGAGTTGCTTGGCTTTTAGGACTACAGTAGTACCTCAGAGCTTGAATGGCTCCATTCTCGAATGTTTCAACTCCCAAACGCTTTCCGAATATTCCTTGGAACACAAATGTCCAATGTGGTTTCTGTGCAAAAACCTAGCTGTCAGCCAATCGGAAGCCGTGCCTCAGAACTCGAATGTCTAGGAAGTCAAACGGTCTTTCAGAACGGATTATGTTTGAGGTACCACTGTATTGGTAAACAAGTTTTTAGCTTTCATGGCTCATTCCCAAAGAAACATATAGAAACATGTAGGAAGTGATGTTTATAAACTCAGAAAAAAGAAGAGATCTCAGGTGGAATTTCTGTGTCTTAAGATGAGTCCAAGATCTATGTGGGGTTCCTGAAGTGTTGTTTTCTGCTCAGTTTATCATTAGGTCACAGCAATGTGGTTCAAACTACATAGAAAGAAGCTTGTTGTGCTTGACCCAATTCAGAAACTGCCACAGCTGCCTGCCTGAACAATGATATGTAAATTTACCAACAGCAAGATTTGGGACATAAGTTCACTGGTGTCTAAGATAGCTGTTGATACTACCTATGACACAACAATACTGAATATGTAGTATCACACTCACATCACAGGCAGTGATGCAAGCATAAATGTTTAGGATACAGCTGCTAGTGGTTTAAATTTATCTTGCTTAGTCCTTTTACATAGGAATGTAATATTAAGTATGGATCTGGAGCAAATATCAGTGTTAGCCGCATAGTGATATGATATACCGGCACATGTGAATAACAATCAGCGAAATACTAGAATGTGACTCAAAAAGGGCAATTCTCTGTGCACTGTGGGACAGTACGTGGGATAAAGGAATTCAGAATAGACAGTGTATATTTATTCTTCCACTGAAAGTTCTTTACCAAATAGTTTGAATTACTAAAGGGGAAAAAATACCAACCCAGTGGAAGGAATAGCTTGTTTTCGTAAAGGTTAACAGAAATATTGAAGACACTTTTGCCTCAAAACTATTATGCGCCTGAGAGTTTATTTCACACAACATAGGCATCAACTGCATCAAGATTTTATAAAAATTATATTGGTCATACTTGTTTACAGAAGGAACCAACCAGTGACAGGACTTAAGAAACCTTTCATTAAATGGCTTGCTTTATATTTTGCATAATTTATCAAGCCCTGTTATTTGCATAGATAATTAGAAAACATGACAAGTGTCTTATGGAAACACTCTAATCAAATGATGTAAACAACCTTATGTGAGAGTTTGTTTTCGGCATGACCAATACCACTACAGTGTTCAAGAATATAAGGCTGAACAAGTTTCTAAGTAATTTCAGGTCTGATATTGTTATAATAAATATGTAAATTATGTTGTCTTTAATATAAAGATACATAACAGCCCAACCTTAATGTGATGCAAGGGTTACTGAGTTCAACAGGATTTCTATAAGCATGCACAGAATTGCAGTTTAAGGATTATATTTTTATTTTAAATGCAGGAAGCATATCATCTTTATTTACATGATTACAAAACTGAAGAGACAGCACACTAATAGTTTGAAGAAGCCTAAGGAAGGTGTCAAGACAAACAAATAGGATTTTCCCAGGCACTGACACACGAATGTATTAAAGAGCATTCAGCCCTTCAAAATCCTGCTTAATGACAGCAGATGATTAAAGGATCAACATAAAATATTCCCTGAAATGCAACTCCATATAGCTGTTTAGGTATAGGTCAATACTATACACATCTACATTTAAATGTGTTGAAAACATTTTTATAAATATTCAGCACATTTCAGTACAGTGGTACCTCAGGTTAAGAACTTAATTCGTTCTGGAGGTCTGTTCTTAACCTGAAACTGTTCTTAACCTGAAGCACCACTTTAGCTAATGGGGCCTCCTGCTGCCGCTGCTCCGGCACTGCACAATTTCTGTTCTTAACCCAAAGCAAAGTTCTTAACCCGAGGTAATATTTCTGGGTTAGCAGAGTCTGTAACCTGAAGCGTCTGTAACCTGAAGCGCATGTAATCCGAGGTACCACTGTATACGTTTCGTATCCCATGACTGAATATCAAAGTTTTAGTGAAAAACAAAGATGCTGCTGCAAGCCTAAGGTTTGCCCACCCCATTTTATAGAAATACAGTGGTACCTTGGGTTAAGTACTTAATTCGTTCCGGAGGTCCGTTCTTAACCTGAAACTGTTCTTAACCTGAAGCACCACTTTAGCTAATGGGGCCTCCTGCTGCTGCCGTGCTACCGGAGCACGATTTTTGTTCTCATCCTGAAGCACTATTTCTGGATTAGCGGAGTCTGTAACCTGAAGCGTATGTAACCTGAGGTACCACTGTACTATGTGTTATCCTACTAACAACTAGATAGATTCAACACACTCTGATACGGAAACACCTCTGAGAATTCACCAGAAACCATATGCTTTGCTTCCCACATAGTTAGCAAAAGGGAGAAATGAGGAAACTGATATCAGGATTATGGACTTTTGCTACCCCTGCAAAGATGACATCAGAAAATGTGAGAGACACATAACACAGAAATTTAAAGGATTTGCACATTACACCTTCTTAAAATTAAATCAATACCAGTCCCCAGCAAAGCCAAGGCTACAGTGCTAACTTCACCTTCTTGGGTGTAAGCCCCATTGGGCATATGTCTAAGAATACATGGTTAGAATTGCACGGTTGCAGACACCAGTTGAATATTTCATTATTTTAGGAATAACCTAAGGGAAATGTGACCAAAGTATTGTACACATAAACTCACTTATTTTTTCAGACTCAAACTCAAGGAATTAATCACGCGTTTATAATCTTTGTGGTGAATAGTGCCTATTGTTCATGCCTCTACTTATTATTCAAATTTGCTTGATTTTCCCTTATGCAAACAATTACAACGTCCTCTCACACGGAAACAACAAATGTCAGCAACTAAACTTGCCGACGGATGCACGACACACTACGCACATTCATGTACTGCACACACTGTAACGAGACTTCACACCCCCTCCCCTTACTTCCCTTCTCACAGTCCTGGGGGGCGGGAATCCTCTCTCCGGGCCTCCCTTCCTCCCACCCCCCCTTTCCTTGCGTCATCGAATACACACTCAGGATGCGCCAGGAGCGATATAATAAACTAACGAGGAGAAGGGAAGACACTGCTGATGTTTTCACGGTTTCATTGCAGCCACACCACCAGGCTGGAAGAGGCTGCTGTGGAGCCAACTTGCCCACCTTCGCCACAGGAAAGCAATGGCACGCTGGCCGTTCACGTGTATTCACATCCCCACGTGTTTGTGTGTGCACGCGCGTCCCTACTTTTCAGAAGGGGGAAGGGAGACACGAGCCCCGCCGTTGTCCCTCAACAATTCCTACGTGTCAGCTGCCCAGTCACGCTGTTCCCTCCACCAGTTCCTGTGAGGGGGAAATTACATGCACACACACCCGCTCTCTCCTGCCAACCCTGAACCTCGTGAGAGGAAATGCAACGCTCTCCCATGATGTGCCCCCCCCCAACCGCCCTTTAACCGCCACCCCGCTTCCGTCCACGAATTTATTAATCCTCTCCAACCTTCCCACCTCAGTCCCCCGTCTCCCCAGCCCCGGTGTACAAGGAAGCCATGTCCCTCCCCTCCCCGCCGACCCCACCATCGCCAACAGCCACACCTACCTGTCTTCTCGTGGTCGTAGCCCACCACAATGAAATAATCTGCCAGCCTGGCCATGGCTGAGGAGAGCCTGCCTCGGGCCCCGCGAGCCCCGCCGCCGCCGCTGACACCGCCGCCGCGCCCGGGAAACTCAGCATCCTCCCCGCGGCGCCTGCAGCTGCTGCACAAGAAGAAGGAGCAGCACCTCAGCCATGTTGGACGCCCAGGCTCGCAGTGCGCCTGCGCGCGCTCCCAACCCCCCCCCCAACTCCCAACCGCCGCAACGCCGCCTCTGTACTACGACCTCGCGGGGGCAGGGCGGGCGTTTGCGGGGTTTACAAACACCACGCGCCGCTGCTGGGCGGCTGCAGCCCACGCTCAGTGGGGTCAGAAGAAGGGAAGGTTCGGGGGGGGGAGGCGGACATGGGGGGGGGACGGGCGTTTCCCTCCCCCCTCCTCATTATTGTAGTGGTTTGCAGCTGGGTGCACGTTTGCGTGTGGCGCTTTGCATGCGGCGACTCGGGTGCATGATGGACCCGTCGCCTGCAAAAGCCGCAGGACGGATGGCGCCCTGAGGCATAAAGCTCAGCCCAAGCCTTAGCCCGGCGCTTCCTTCCTGTTTTGGAAATTCAAATTAATACAGGGCGCGGGGAAACTGAGGACGGCGGAGCTTTCGAGCCGCTCCCCCCTCCCCCGAGATTCGCGAAATCTCCGGCGAAAGTGTGTCCCGCAGGCTTTCGGCCACACTTCGCTTCCGCTTGCAAAGTGCTTAAGGCTCACCCGAAGGCCGTTTCGCTCCTGCTGTTCGGAGCCTCTGTCTGCTGACTGTGCGCATGTGTGAAGGGCAGCTTTAAATTGCTTGCGTTAGGTTTCCGAACCCATTCATTTCCGTGAGGTAGATTGTAAACTGCGTTCCAGCCATCCTGCCTTTGGGTGTCCTCCGGCTATCGTTTCTCGTAGACATGTTTTGAAATGGCATGTTCACGTTTTAGCTTCTCCCTAGCCAAGTTTGGAGAAATATCTTTTCAGTTTCATTTCTCCGTGGGGGAAAATCATCAAAAAGGCAGCGGTGATCTTGGCCCAAACCTCATTTGTAACTCTTGGAATTATTTTTTTGCCTTATCGCACCCATTATCTTTACTAACTGCATGATCCTGAAGGTTACTCAAAAGTTATTTACTCCCAAGTAGCAGCCTAATCCTATGCAGAGTTAGTACATTTAAGCCTACTGAAATCATTTCCAGACTTGCATTAGGTTTTAATTAAGAGCAATTTAAAAGAGTGTTTTAAAATAGCACTAAAACACAATAACTGAGGAGTAAGCCAAATGACTTCAGTGTTTCTGTTCTTGAAGGATGGACATGAATATAGAGGATATGAAGCCAAACACTGTGGGTTGGAGTTACAGATAGGTAGCCGTGTTGGTCTGCCATAGTCAAAACAAAAAAAATTCCTTCCAGTAGCACCTTAAAGACCAACTAAGTTACCGTAGTTCTTGGTATGAGCTTTCGTGTGCATGCACACTTCTTCAGATACACTGAAACAGAAGTTGCCAGATCCAACTGTGGGTTGGAGCCAGACATGACCCATTGAAATCAATGAGTCTACTCAAAATATGGCCAAGTCTAGATTCAACCCCATGTGAGATTACATTATTGAACTCTACAGAATCCATGGACTTCCCCACAAGCAAGTATCGCATGGTTACAGTTTGGAGCTGCAATCCTATATACGCTTACCTGAAAGCAAACACTATTGAATTCAGTACCCCTTACTTTTGAGTAGACATGCACAGGCTTGTGCTGTTAATGAATCTGTTTAGTGTTTCAATTCTAGATGCACTCTGTAGTTTTTCGGGACAATTTAAATCAAGTTTATTCTGAATTTACTGCCTAGACAATGAGTTTAAGATTACAGATTTAGTGATTTGTAGGGAATTTACTTTAAAAATCTTGTAGGGGAGAGTAATGTTGGTGCAACAAAATCATTTAGAGCGTGCTCTAGAACAATACTGTGATGGGAGCTGAGCAAGGTTCAACTTTTGCACAAGCGATAGAGGCCTATGGTATATTCCACAGATGATGGGATTGTTCAGAAAACCACATCCATATGGCTGTCATAATGTTGGCAAGTTTCACTAGGAAGACCTGCTCTTTTGTTTGGAAACTCTATGCCAGCATTGCACATTCCTGGAAGCTGCTCGTACTGGTATGGAGGCTTTCCACCCAATCGAACCTGCCCATGTTGTGAGTTACTCACATACCACAGCTGTGGCTTCTTTTCAGCAGCAACAACTTCACCACCCCAAATAATGCAAGAAATAGATCATACACAACATGGTTCTCACTAGTTCAGCATTTTGACACTTGTGAATATCAGGGTTGTAAGGTCTAATGTGAGGTGTTGTATTTTACTTCCCATGTAATTCAAATTATCCCATCAACACATATAGCCATGCAAGTCTACACTGGATAAACTGAGATTATGACACACCACAGCCTGGCTTATCTTCTTTTTACACGTTTTGCAGGTCATGAAATGAGCTACAATTCTGAAATCCTAGATCGTTCATAAGGGAGGGAAATCACCACTTGATGGCTTCATTCTGTCCTTAGCAATTGTGCAAATAGTTGTGAGTCAGCATTATGCAATTTGTAGTTTACCACAAAAATAAGTACAATAAAAATTCCAACTACTCTGGCAGAAAAGTCTTCTGGAATAGATCCATTGTTAATCTGTTAGACTAGGATGAGCAAAATATAAAAGGTATAATAAACCTACTTCTGCACGTAGAAAACGGTGTGCAGAAGAGCTCCTATTGGATGTGATTTTAACACTTCACTTCCACTGCTGCCCTCAAGCTGAAGCTGTGTTAGGCATGTTGCAGTATACTCAGTAAGTTAAGACCCACACCTTATATGAACCAAGTCAGTGTTAGAAACTGAGGTATGAAAGCTAAATGACACCTTAAACCAGGCTTCCCCAACTTCGGCCCTCCAGATGTTTTGAGACTACAATTCCCATCATCCCTGACCACTGGTCCTGCTAGCTAGGGATCATGGGAGTTGTAGACCAAAAACATCTGGAGGGCTGAGGTTGAGGAAGCCTGCCTTAAACCTAGGTTATGGGCGCAACAACAAAATGTCTAGGCATGCTTTGTTATAACAAGAATACAAAGCTGAAAATGAATGAACTGCAGGTAAAATATTATGTTCACTTTTCACGTGGTCTACTCCTTCTCTGCCCACCCCTGTAATATTCTTAAGAGGGTCTCTTCTCTAGTCTTCAGAGAGTATCTGAAAGTGGGAAGACAGAAAAAGGTCCTCCTTTCCTTCTACTCTGCAGTTTTAATCTGAAATCTTCAGCTTGACACCAGAGCAGGAAGGAACAGGATACAGTAGTTACAATATGTTCTTTAAGGAGCTCCATGGCACTCTTGTTTCCTGTAAACCATTTAAGATGCTGTCATCTTGAACTAGTTCAATCCTCCTGAAGTTTGAGGCTGAATAGAAAATGAAAACTACTCCTGAATGAATTAACTGTAGATGACATTCATGATTCTGCTGAAGGCCAGTGACACACCTTTGAAGACCTAACTGCTATATAAATGCAAAGTAAGCCGGATTCAATTGTTTTAGACTGCAACTTATAGATACAAATGTGGCACATAACACTCTTTTGGAATTTAAAGCTCCAAATGGTATTTTCACAGTTGCCACAGAAATCACTATATATTGTATTTTTCGCTCCATAAGGCACACCTCCTTTTTTTGGGGGGGTGGATTTCAAGGGGAAAAAATGCTGCTCTTGGGGGCTTTTGTGGGGGCTTTTCCCGCAAAAGCTAGGGATAGCTGCGCGAAGCCTCCCCAGGGCAGCGGGATGAAGGCTCCCCGCTGCCCTTCGGAGGCTTCGCGGGCTACCCCAGAGCTGCTCGACCCAAAGAGCAGCCTTTCCACTGCTCCCCGCACTTGTGGGGCTGGCGGTGGGCAAAGCCGAGTTTCCCTCACCGCCAGCCCCAGGGAGCAGCGGGAAGGCTGGACGCAGCCTTTCTGCTGCTCCCCGAGCTTGTGGGGCTGGCGAGGGAAGCCCGGGTCCGTCCGTCCCCCCCCCCGGCCCCAGGGACCACACATTCGCTCCATAAGATGCACAGACATTTCCCCTTAGGTTTTAAGAGGAAAAAAGTGTGTCTTATGGAGCAAAAAATACGGTAAATGTTATGCATCTCCATGAAGCCACAAGTCCCTGTTGAGTTTTCTCACTTCTAAATCACTCCACAACTATCTTTTAGAGGCCACACATGCCTAGAAGGCCAGCTTGAATGTTTCATCTTCAGTAACAGCCCCAAAGCAACCACATCCACAAACTACTTAAGATGTATTAATTGTGCTTAAACCATTTTAGTCATGTTAAAGTCTTTCAGCTTAAATGCAAGCCCATTGCAAAGAGATTAGTGCTGAAGGTGGGGGTGAGGAGGAGAAAGTGAACAGTAGCAATTATGCTAGTCTTTATGTATGACTGAGAAGCTTTATAGACGTGTTTTTCTTAAGTGAGGGTAGCTCCAGATAATCCATTAACTGAGCATTTTGATTTGCTTGCATGGAGGTTTGCTGATGATTATAGTTTGTTACCTGGCCTACTCCCCAAGGTCCCAGGGTGGGCCACAACAACTAAAATACAAAATGTTAAAACACAATATTATACAATATTAAAAGCAGTTTAAAACAATGAAAATCACAGAAATAAGATATACCGTACATCTCAAGTGTCAAAACCCAAGATAAAGCATTCACCAAAAGCTGTATAATGAGGATGCCAAATGCACCTCTGTGGAAAGAGAGTTCCACAACTTAGGGGATACCACAGAGAATGCTTTCTCCTGGGCTGCCACCACCCAAGCTTCTGAGGGCAATTTAACACCCTCTGCCAATCATAGCACCCAAGAGGATCTGTAGGGAAGGAGGTGGTCTTTCAAGTATTTATATCTGGTCTTTACTGAGCACTCCTGAATTTCTTGAGGGAAAGTTATACAACAATGTGCATCCATCCTGAACTCATCCTGATTTGCTTATTTGCTTTATGATCTCACACTTTTCAGGGCATTCTCTTTCAATTTTCCGACTGCCAAAATAATAATAATATCCACTTAAAAACAATAACAATCAGAATGGTTGTGCCAGGGTGACACAATACTTTAAGCCCCTTTAACAGAGCAAAAATAAATTTCACCCATGCATTAGAATCCCTCAGAA